CTGACACATGATGGTCTTCAGCATATCAATGACTCGGGGTGTAACTATAACTATATATGTAACTATAAAATGTAACCATGTTACCATAACATTGTTTCGGGTTTCCTTAACAGTGCTTGAGAAAACAAGATTTAGCCTAAACGCTGGAATGATTTAACAGGTATGGTTCAAAGAATGGCCCATGTCGGGTTCAGAAATGCTATTTACTCTGTACGTTTTGATACAATGTTTGTACTTTTTGAGCGAACCGAATACACCTTCCTTAAAACATATTCGTAAAACAAAATGTGTGCCCTGAATACCGTTGGAATTAATAACATTCATACAAGAGATGTCCAGTCAACACTACTATTAGCGCTATGTCTTTCGCCTTGAGTTCATGTGTATTAATCTACACTGATATCATTTTCAACGCAAGTTTTGCTTATTTGTTTTTTCAAGCCGCACTCAGAAAAATTCCAACTCTCTAAATAATTGAATCTGTACCAGACAACCCAGTGATTGACACTATGTTCATCGATCGACGCAATTGGGACACGATGACATGAATCGACCAAGTCCGCGAGCCTGACCGCCCGATCAAGTTCGTCTCCTCTTACTACAGACCCATGAAGATCCGGGGTAGAATAGATCTTCAGCAACCCATCCTTGACGTAAAAGGCGACTATGCTTGTCGTAATAGGCGACTAACGGGATCGGGTGGTCAGACTCGCTGACTTGGTTGAAGCATGTGATCCAAGTTGCGTGGATCGATGCTCATAATATCAATCACTGGATTATCTGGTCCAGACTCCATTATTTACATATCGCCGTCATATAGATGGAATATTGTTGAGATCGGCGTGCAACAACACACAAACAAAACAAAAACCTCTTACTACAAGCAGGGGTTGCTGCAGGTAAACCGCAGCCGAATTCACCGAGCACTGCGTTTGTGGAAGAAATATAACTGATAAAAATGTGCCCTTGGAAATAAAACTCCTTACTCCATGTCCCCCAATGTCGCTGCCAAAAAATGTAATAAAAAACATCTTTTTATCAATTATAGAAACAATTACCTCAGTAATCACTATAAGAGGGTAGCCCATTACAAGTTGTAGTCCGGTCGATATAGTGTCAAATCCTACCAAACCCACCAAGAATTGCAACAGAAATTAATTCTCCTGTTTCATGAACAGAAAGCATCCCCTTACAACATAGTAAAAATCTAGGAAAATTTTAGTTGCGGAAAATTGTTTAGTTTGGGTATGATCTTTAGGGGGTAAATCAAAATAAAATACAAAAAAAATAAATTAATGTTTCATTTTTTGTTTAACCAAATCAGGTTACATATTAAATGAAAGCGTGTGTCACAAGCAGTCCTTGTGTATCCATAGTTTGTATCTAATCTGCATAAAAGTAATATAATATGCCTTTGGAAAACAATTAGCGAAAAACACATATATTCACATTTATTCATATATATAGTTTTTGTTTGTCTTAACTATATTTATTCAACAACATTAACAATTATTTATTTGTTTGAAAACCTTCATTTTTTAATATTTCCTTTTTAAAACTTATATGTCAAGTAAAGGTCATCAATAAATGTTTACAAATATAAGTTTCCCGACAAGTAGCACATCGGCGGCCATGTTTACCAAGGAGACAGGCTAACAAGGTCATCATCCAGCACATATTTGGCATGTTCAATAATCCTTGGACCACATATAGCTGAGGGCTATACAATACCTTCATCTTAGATTTATAAGGATTCATTTGAATTCTGTATCCCCCGGATAGGGACATTTTCTAACTTTGTATACATGCCATTTTTTTAAATAGCAATTTTAGTTTTATATCTTGTATTCCAATTTGCAACATTCCTCAGGTTAAACGTGAAGCTTAATTTATCTGCAGTGGATTCAACATCGATACTTGCCAACGTCGCCAGTAGTGAAAATGTCAGTGCACAGTTTGTTTTCATATTAACTAATAGTTTATTTATTTTACCATATTGATGATGCTATAAATGGACCATCTACTATACACAGTAAAACATGCTCCAATAAAACAGTTGAAGTTGGTACATAGTAAAATAGAATGAAATGTGATAAAGACTGAAACAGAACAGTCACGAGGATCACGGGCGCCGGAACAGCCTATCTTGCATGACATATCTGGAGATGTTTCTTCATATATGCAAGGGAATAACAGTATACCTACTGTTGTGTAAGAACTTGAAGTCAATCCTAACCGGGACTTATAACCAGCGCAGATATCACACCAAGGTGGTATATGCATACGTAGCCAACATGCGTGTTGTACATGCTTCCAATCTATGCCGGTGATGTGTTCAGTTGCCACGCTGTTGTAATAATCGTGTAGAAAGAAAGGATATTTTACCGATATTTGTAAGACAAAAATTAAATATGCGAGACTCCCCCAAATGTTAATAAAATGTCACCATTATTTTACATTTGTATTAAAACAATGAGAACTGTTTCCTCAACTACACCTAGAGACAGATGGTGCCCCGATTTAAGTGCCTCATTATTTCATTCATTGCGTCAATATGTCACTGGTAGACCTAGATATATTGTCACATAAAAACTTTCAATACTAGTTTTGCATCTTGTTGCGATATCGAATGGAAAACAGTAAAGTAAATAATGGCACAAAATTTTGTTGGAATATTGCTAAAAGCGGCGTAAAACCATACTCACTCACACAGTCGCCATGACGCGGCTTGAATATTGTTAAAAAGGATTAAAACCAATAACCAATTGCAAGCAAGAATCTTCACATCGAATCGTGCGTATTTATTTGTGCATTGTAGCGACAGGTGATTAACATGAACATCACATGTTGCTAAGTGACTCAACATGACCAAGTGGAAAATATTTCCGTCATCTCGGAGACAGTTTGATTCAGGATCATGTAAATGGGTCACTCTATTACTGGAATCTGTAACAACAAAATAGCTTTTCACTGGGACATGCCATCATAAACAAAAATTACGACGATAAAGCGGCTCAGGGATCTTGTATCCGGGTTATCATGTGCTCCACCATTAATTAGCCAAATTGCCCAGAGAAAATAAACAATCGTAACAAACTATGATATATTTCTGATTTGTTTTAAAAGCAGAAATGTTTTATACACTTTGTATTGCTTTTTTATAAATGAACAGAAAAATTCAGAAGAGCTTAAGACCATTCGTACCGACAAATCCCGCCTCGGAGATTTTTATCACACACACACACACACACACACACACACACACACACACACACACACACACACACACACACACAGCAATCCCATCGCCGTAAAGCTATCACAAACACTATAAATGTCGAAATGCACATCTGTCTCAATGTACCTTTAACTCATTTGATGTGTCAAAACAATGTAACCCGCATTAGGATTAACAGCACAAAATTACTTTAAAATAAAATCATTCAGTGCACTTTGTCCTTGGTATCAATGATCATCATCCAACGTAGACATTGTCATTTTGACAACCTGTATTTATCTTTACAGTACCACTGACCGTCCTGCTGGACCATAACTAGTGTCTGTGTATATTGATTACAGAAATAAACCATTTTAGGCTCATTTTGTTGCAATATATACTTCACGGCACGCAAAACACTCGTTAAGCAGATTCCTTAAGACATGGGAATAACATTTATGACAACGTTAAAGACTTAAGTTGCTACAGTTACTCGTTACCATCAACTCAACTTTCTTTGCAATCGTTCATAACTTTGTCGTCAATCGATGGCTATTTTCCGCATCGAAGAGGTTTCATTTCCTGTACTTACGATGCTAGCTCTTCAAGGTACCAACCCCAACAACAAATCATTTTATTCACTTAAGCCTTATAAATTAAAGTTAATTCATACAAATTTATACACCTGAGACCTGAGACGTAAACTGTTGTTGCATCATTGCATATAAAAATATGTGTAAATTCAAATTTACGGGTATCGTACATGTATACTCATTAAAACTAGCGAACGCTGAAAATACATAAATGTTTATCTCCTAATTCAATCATTACAATTCGGCCATATATACATCGCCAGAGAAGATGAACTTCCCCACGATCTTTATACGTATGAGGAAATTCCTTCCCAGATAAAAACCGACCTGACTGCATCGTGAAGATGACAAACGTGCTGGTAAGTATCCATATACTATCTGATGAAGGGTCTTCATCATGACAAGAACAGTTCCATGAGAGACCTATCTTCGTAGTAGAGCAGTTATCCATTGTTCAGGAATATGCACCAAGCAATAGCTCTTATATTTAAAGAGCTTTAATCTGAAAACGTAACGTTATAATTCACGATTATTGAATTTGGTTAGACACGCGATTGGCCTGTGTAATTGATTTTCGATTGTTATTAATAATGGCAGTCCTGTTCATTCGTCATACATAACAACTAAGGAAACCTCCTTGGTATCGTGTATTTTAAACATTTGATTGGATTTCCATTGGTTATATGTGTGACTAATGGTTTGTTAATCTGATTGCAGATGCAATACCACACAAATGAATGTATTTGGACATTGATGAGCGACAGATCTTGTATATTGTGTCTTGTCATTAACCAGCAATCTATATGAAGACAATGTCATTGATAAAATAAAAGAGGATAATAAAATTATTGACACATGCTACATTAATAAACGATTGTAATGCAACAATGTAACATTCCAAATCCAGGTATTAGATAGAGTGAAGTATATTTCATCCTTTTCTTAAATCTAATAAAAAGCATTTTTAGATATGGAGTATATATTTGAAGCTTCTTGGTAGCTATATTTTCCAGCAAAATTCAATACATACACTCAGTAAACTACATATGGAATATACGGCTATGTAAATGTTGTTACGCATATACAATGATGATACATTTTAACATACTGGAATCCCAAGCTTTGAGAATATTAGCGATAACCAAAAGTAGATTGCTTGAGAAATGAGAACTTCAAAATGATGTTTTTACCTGACTGCATGGTAAACACCACAAAAGCGCTGCTGAGTATCCAAGTGGCATCGTCGTGAGACTTAACCCGAAAATTCTTTCCTAGGAATAAAGCTGTTGTTACGTCACTCATAGTACCATTCTCCCATGTTGTAGCGGACATGGTGTTGGAAATATGTCGCATGTACAGTTATGACACACGTCGTTCAATCCGGGAAGCAAGGGTGGTCGCGAAACAGTTGAAGCCAAGTTGATCCAGAATGCTTTTAGCAACACAACTAAAACATTTGATGAAAATGATCGTCATGCATCATCAAATTACCACCAGCTGGGATGTGTTCGCCACATATTCACACTTGATGCATTTGTTGATGCATTTGTTCTGTTGCCTACCAGCTTCTATCAATATGCAATGGTCATTTATAAGCATTTCAGATCGGCCTCACTTATGACATCACTCACTAATGTCCTTAGCTCTTCGTAAAATGTCGAGCTTAAATGTGCCCACTGAACATGCCTGAATTTCTCCTGATGAAGAAACATATCCGCCCATCGATAGTGAATATCTTAATGTAAGGCAACATTTGTCGAATGACCCTCGCTGATATCACAGTTCTTAGGAGTAGTACCTCGATTAGACTCAGCGATAAACGTATGACCATTGCTGCGATTGATCACGTTCAGATTACCGTTTTCAGGAGTCAGCTGCTTCCAAGAATCACGCCTATTCCTGTGTAAACCCGCTCATTTGTACTTCCTACACCTTCTGACGTACTTCAGGGACGTATATAGGGAGGTGTAATGCATTTATCTTGAGGGGAGTCTTCTATGGTGAAGAGGCGATACAAATCTGAGAGGGTTTTTTAAATGAAACGTTTGTCCACAGAGAAAGTGATCGACCGTTTCCAGATGACTACATGGCAAGCAATACTGATGACTATTCCAACCAGAAACAACCTGTCAGTTCTCATTTACTGATTTGGATTATATTTGGACTTCAGTTATATCAATATTTATCGGGTATGCATATTTGATTATGGTGGTAGGTTTAATGATTCCCTGAAAGTTAACACAACTTGAAATCATAGATATGCAATTGAATATCGGGGGAAAGTGTTTGCGATTCTGATACCGATCGAACGTACGGCATACAACATCTTTTGTCGCACATGATACTCTTTGAAATATGAAACGCCAGCGTAAAACACCACCATTGTCAAGTCGGTATCTAATTCAGCTGATCATGACAGCCTTCTTAATTGATGACATTCACTGCCAATCACATACTTTGGGTGGTTAAAGCGTTCGCTCGTCACGCCGAAGACCCGGGTTCGATTCCCGACATGGGTACAGTGTGTGAAGCCCATTTCTGGTGTCCTCAGCTCCAACTTATGGCGTCCACAAGGAATCTGTTTCGGCAGATATTCGAGACGCGCTGACGTTTTAACTATATATATATATATATATATATATATATATATATATATATATATATTATAAAATTATGTATATCGACTTTATTTGAAATATATTTACTAAAAATATACCTGTGCGGTTTGTTTTGAAGAGTGTGTGTGTGTGTGTGTGTGTGTGTGTGTGTGTGTGTGTGTGTGTGTGTGTGTGTGTGTGTGTGTGTGTGTGTGTGTGTGTGTATATATATAAGCGCAACCTTGTGGCCTTATGTGACATGACAATGAACAGTTATCAATGCCTTTGTACAACAAGTGACTATCGATATATATATATATATATATATATATATATATATATATATATATATATATATATATATAAACTGAACCAAATTAAAAACTTCACAATCCTAAATTTTTTACATTTTGACCAGTTATCATTGTGGGCCCTTATTGTGTATTTAAACAGTAATGGCCACGTATCGTCTTCAGATAACACCCGTTTTTGTGCAGGTGAATCGATCAAAATCATGTGCACAGCACTATAGTGGCAAAAGTGGTTTTTCACGTGCAGCTGGTCACGTGGCCATAATACCGCACGTGTTTTCAGCCATACTTGTTAGCAGTCATTAACAAAAAAAAGAAAAACACAAGAAACAAAAGTCTTTACGGCCATTTGTCATGCAACGCCTTTCAAATGTGCAACGTGAACGTGCCATCGGCATGTTGCAGATGGGAACGTCCGTAGCTGAAGTCGCAAGGACGATGAGTTGTAGTCGACGGACTGTTTATGATTTACAGATTTACATGATCTACAGCAAACGGGTACCACCGCTGATCGCCCCCGGCCAGGTCGACCACGTGTGACGTCACATGCAGAGGATCGTCAAATTGTCTTACGTCACCTCCGTAACCGATTTTTGACGGCTACATCAACCAGAAATGAACTGTTTAGGGGTAGACTGAGTGCGCAAACTGTTCGAAACCGTCTGAGAACTGCTCACCTTCAAGCACGACGGCCATACTGCGGGCCGATTCTGACTCAATTACACAGACGTCAACGTCAATTGTGGGCACAGCGACACTTACGATGGACCTGTGAGGAATTGGAATCAAGTCGTCTTCAGTGATGTATCCCGATTTAATCTTCGATTTGCTGATGGTAGGGCGAGGGTGTGGAGGCGCCGTCATGAACGTTACGCCCAGTGTTGTGTACAGGAAGTTGACAGATTTCGAGGGGGAACTGTCATGGTGTGGGGTGCTTTCTGTGGCAATGCACGTTCCAGGCTTCTTGTCATCCGTGGCAACCTCAACACTGCTGCTTACCGCGACCAGGTACTGGCTCCAGAAATTCTGCCTGTTATGGCAGCACATGGACCCGGTTTGATCTTCCAACACGACAATGCCAGACCCCACACTGCAATTTTGACAAGGAATTTCCTTCAGAATGCGGGAGTCAACGTCTTGGACTGGCCGTCAAGGTCTCCCGACCTCAATCCCATCGAACACGTCTGGGATGCTCTTGGCAGAAGTCTGCACACTCTCCAGAACCAACCACAGAATTTGCAAGATCTTGGCACCATTTTGCAGCAACAATCATGTGTTCACAAGAATCACAAGGTCCATGTGGAGGAGTTGTGTGGCAGTTGTCAACGCACATGGGGGCCATACACGCTACTGAACTTGTGTGCCATCAGATTCTCATGCTTGAGACTTATGATTTAAACTGTTGATGTTATTCCCGAATACCGTAGGTGCTTGGAGAACAAATTCTGGTTACCACCGTTAATTAAAATCCTTCTTTGGACATTAATTATTAAAAATTACCTTCTCTGATACATTTGTCCGTTGTATATCATATATGGGATTACTTTTAAAGATGTGAAGTTTTTAATTTGACTCAGTACATATACTTCATCTTCGAACAATAACTGTAATGACAAAGTGTAGATATACTTCATCTTCCAGCAATACCTGTATGACCCAGTGTAGATATACTTCATCTTCCAACAATACTTGTATGACCCAGTGTAGATATACTTCATCTTCAAACAATACCTGTATGACCCAGTGTAGATATACTTCATCTTCCAGCAATACCTGTATGACCAAGTGTAGATTTACTTCATCTTCCAACAATACCTGTATGACCCAGTGTAGATATACTTCATCTTCCAACAATACCTGTATGACCCAGTGTAGATATACTTCATCTTCCAGCAATACCTGTATGACCCAGTGTAGATATACTTCATCTTCGAGCAATACCTGTATGACCAAGTGTAGATTTACTTTATCTTCCAGCAATACCTGTGAGTTGAGGTGAAATTGGGTGTAACGCCGTGTCCAATATTATTGCACTTATATAGCCCATGCACGTGTATGTGTGTGTGTGGCTGCTTGTACTAGTCCGGACTGATGCCGATTCATAGTGCTAGCTAGAGATACCATGCCGCAGTTTAACATGAATACCCAACTCAGACACAGTATACTGACTCCGAGCCGACCAGTCCTTGTTTAAGCCCCTTAATGCCGAGCGCCAGACAGGGTAACAACAAGTACAATCTTTTAACGTCTTTTTGTATGACGCGGCCGGGGATCGAACCCCGGACCTTCCGCTCTCCGGGCGGACGCTCTACCACAAGACCACCGAGGCGGTCAGCAATACCTGTATGACCAAGTGTAGATATACTTCATCTTCTAGCAATACCTGTATGACCCATTGTAGATATATTTCATCTTCCTAGCAATATCTGTATGACCCAGTGTTTATATACTTCATCTCCCAGCAATACCTGTATGACCCAGTGTACATATACTTCATCTTCCAACAATAACTGTAATGACCAAGTGTAGATATACTTCATCTTCCAACAATACCTGTATGACCCAGTATACATATACTTAATCTTCCAGCAATACCTGTATGGCCCAGTGTAGATATACTTAATCTTCCAGCAATACCTGTATGGCCCAGTGTAGATTTACTTCATCTTCCAGCAATACCTGTATGACCCAGTGTAGATATACTTCATCTTCCAGCAATACCTGTATGGCCCAGTGTAGATATACTTCATCTTCCAGCAATACCTGTATGACCCATTGTAGATATACTTCATCTTCCAGCAATACCTGTATGACCCAGTATACATATACTTAATCTTCCAGCAATACCTGTATGGCCCAGTGTAGATATACTTCATCTTCCAGCAATACCTGTATGACCCAGTGTAGATATACTTCATCTTCCAGCAATACCTGTATGACCCAGTGTAGATTTACTTCATCTTCCAACAATACTTGTATGACCCAGTGTAGATATACTTCATCTTCCAGCAATACCTGTATGACCCATTGTAGATATATTTCATCTTCCAGCAATATCTGTATGACCCAGTGTTTATATACTTCATCTCCCAGCAATACCTGTATGGCCCAGTGTAGATATACTTCATCTTCCAGCAATACCTGTATGACCCATTGTAGATATATTTCATCTTCCAGCAATATCTGTATGACCCAGTGTTTATATACTTCATCTCCCAGCAATACCTGTGTGGCCCAGTGTACATATACTTCATCTTCCAACAATAACTGTGATGACCAAGTGTACATAAACCTCATCTTCCAGATATAACCGTCATCACTCGTTTACGAATAATTAGTGTTATTTAATTATGATATGTGTTTTGTAATATGGACGATATGTTTTTGTAATATACTGAACCGTAAAAGAAACGTCACCATAGATACATATCTGAGACACCTCATTTGTCCAAACACTGTAAACATACTTTCAGACATATTAAAAAGATGAAACTTGGCAAAACATATCACCAAGGTTGGAATTAAAGTGTCAAACGTTCCTAAAGTGACACAAAATACCAGACTCTGAGAAAGTGGCATCACAAGTCAGTATCTAGTGTGTCCGCCATGTGCATTGAAAACTGCCCTATAACGTCGATACATGGAATGGATGAGGCGGTTGATGAAGGCCACAGGCACTATAGCCAACACTCTGAGGAACGTCTGACGCAGTTCAGCTGCAGTTGTCGGCCTTGGTCGGACGTCATTCAGCCGCCTTAGAATCTCGTTCCACAGGTGCACA